CATTTACTAAAACTGGAGAGTGCAAAATCAAGTGCAACTCTGCAGAGAAACCAATCAGATTCCAGGTTTTATTGCCAAAGCTTAAATGAACAAGCTGGAGTTAGAAGCTGATTGGCTACTATACACATCTGCACCAGATTCTGAGTGCACCAATTTTAGTAAATCTCCCCCTGTGTTATCCCAGCTAGGACAGCTCCCCCCTGCTACCCCGCCGGGAGAACACAATAGGAATTTTCTCATCAACAGCAGAATCTATGGCCACATTAAAATGAGATTTAGTAAATGCATTTAGATTGATAAATAAATGAACCTGAATAACAAATTAAGGTATAAAGGTTAGGACTGAGGTAGCCTCCCTGATGGTATTCCCAAGTGTAGCTCGGGGTAAAGTTTCAATACCAAAAGCGGTAATCCCAAGCTACACTGGGGCTTACCATGCGGCGCTGCTCCGGCATCTGTTCTTCACTTACCTTGTCCTGCGCTCCCGCGATGTCCCCCCTGTAGTGTCCCCAGCAATGTAATCTGGTGGATGCCGGCATCTGTCATCTGGGTTCCGTCCCCTGCGAGCGTCGGGACGTACGGGGACGGAACGGCGAGAAATTTGAAAATGACAAAAAGTGACATTCACTAAATACACTAAAATCACATAGTATAACATTACTGTATCAAACCATTTCACATACATTTTGTCCCGAGTGCTCTGTCCTGTGCCCTGCCTGCATTTGTACTGTTCTTTCTGCCTGGAAACTGAGAAATGTCCATGACATCCAAAAAGTGTCCCTTTAGGTCAAAATCGGTTTTAGACCAGCTAGAGAACAGCGATAGTAAATTAGAACTGTTGCAGAATTGAGTGATAATGATTCGTGGGGAAATTCGTCATCAGACACTGAAAACGATTTTGCGATTTTGCTCAGTGATGTGCGAACTTGGCGCTATATTTCAAATTTCAGTGTTTTTGGTTTGATTTTATTATTGAATTAAATGTATAATTATTATATTATTATTTTTTATGATTATTTCTTAAATTATAATTTTTGATTTCGTGTTTCAAATTTTATCCTACCCGGGATGTTTACTGGACTCTTGTTTAGATAGATTTCAGTGAGTTATTCCTAAAAATTACAGGCCTACAATAAAAAAAATACATATTTCCATGCAAAAAAATGTACCTCTTTGAGCACAGAAATATGGACATAATCAGACCGCTAGGGAGGTTAAGCAATGGTTCACTTTTGTGCTTCTTGTAGTAATTCACAGAGTAATGTGTAACTGTTTTATTGCCATTTCCATCTGTTAACATGTCATAGGTTATTCTGGACACACCAAAGGTTATCATGTTTATCTTGCACCTGACTTATTGTTATGCACAGTGTGACTACCACTTTTTACAACCTGTTCTATTAAGTTTTCCTGAACATATGCGCGTTCTACACTTAAATACTTTTGTCACAGAACAACATTCTTCCCTGGAGAATATGCCCATGTATGTTTTAATAAACATCTTTCTGTTCACCGTAAGATAGGTGGCTTTGACTGAATTCCACAGCAAGATCTGCTTTAAAGAGAATAATAAAAGTTAAAGCGTAATTCCAGCTTAATCCTCTTTGTCAGTTTTTATTTTTTTGTTTTTTCTTACTGTTTGATGTTACGTTGCATAGATTTCCCTTTACTTCCCCTCAACACACAATGTTGTCATAGGAAGAAGGGTCAGCCACACACAGGAGGATAGATGAATAAAGTGTGTATTTATTGATCCATAGGAGACATAAAACAACAGGATATGAGTACAGGACCTGTTAACGCGTTTCACACTATCTCATGATTAAGCACAAGATGGTGTGAAACGCGTTAACAGGTCCTATATTCATATCCTGGTGTTTTGTGTGTCCTATGGATCAATAAATACACACTATATTCATCTATCCTCCAGTGTGCGGCTGACTCTTCTTCCTATTGCATCGTGTGTGGTGGCGAGCCAGAGCTTGCACCTGTCGTGGATTGATCTGGATTGTTTGCCTGACGGTATACCTTTGTTCTTTGGACACAATGTTGTCACCAGAACAGGAAGTAAGAAAAAAAAAATCTAGCAGGTTCATAGGTTTTACCCTTTCTCCTTTCTATGAAAAAAAATGTATTTTAACTTTTTTTTTAATTTTAAAGAACATCTTCAGGTATTATCTATGGAAAGGATGGAGGAAGGTAAGTGTAATGTTATAGTTATCTCCATACTGCACTTTCGCGGATACAACTTTCTAGAAAAACTGTTTCGGGAGCACACCGGTAGCTCTGTGCTTCCAGTATACAGTGAAGGAAATAAGTATTTGATCCCCTGCTGATTTTGAATGTTTGCCCACTCACAAAGAAATGGTCAGTCTAAAAATCGAATGGTAGGTGTATTGTAACACTGAGAGACAGAATAGCAACAAAAAAAATCAAAAGAAATGCATGTCTAACAAATTATGCACTGATTTGCATGTTCATGAGGGAAATAAGTATTTGATCCCCAATCATTCACTGTATATGCTTTTTACTTCCTGTCCCTTCTATATCATGAATGGAATCAGTCACTGCCCTGTAGATTTCTAATGCCATGATTAATTCTACAGATAAAATAGCCTGGATGGGAAGCATTCAAATAGCAGTGCTGCTGCACTTTCTGCACAGTTTTCAGATCTATCTGGGAAGTGACAGCACAGAGGTAAGTGTAAATCACACATTATACTTACCACTGTACTGTCCTTTCTGCAGACATTTCCTGGAGTTCTACTTTAGTTTTTTATTTTGTTTTTTTTTTTTACATCCAGTGGTCATTTGGTCTCCTGTCCCACTGGAGTAGTGTGATTCTGGCCATTTGAACCTTTTAACTCCTTGGCACGGACAGTACGCAAATATTCGGCCTCTCGGCAGCTGGGCCTTGACACTGAGAGGACACATATTTGCGTACCAAATGTAAACAAACGTGCCGAGAGCGCACACCCTCCGTGCTCCCGGCACAATTACTGAAACTTTACAGAATGGTCCGGATCACTACTTGTGATCAGGAGCTTTCCAAACATATGATCTCTGTGACAGCCAATCATGGCAGTCACATGACCCTACACCCCGCACCGCATCCCAGTGTCTCAAACTCTTTAAAGGACTGGGAAGGGGCAAAGGGGTTAAAGATTTTCTTAGCAGGATGCTAAGTAAATTTAGTTTTTGGCTCCTTCTGCAATCAAAGGAGCAATGATTGTTTGGTCTGGTCTGTTCAGGGTTTCACAGGCTGGGAGTTTGATTGCTTTCCCCGCCTGTAGAAGAAGTTTTCAGACCTTAGAGAGGGAAAATTCAAATAACTGGACTGAATAGTGATCAGGGTCTAGCCAATCCGTGGGAGGTGTAACCAGATGGTGGCTAGTAAGCTTAGAAATTGTCTGGAGCCCTAAAGAGAGGGTCTATCCCAACAAGGAGATCTCCAAGCCCCAGGGGGCTATTGCCCTTGAGGCAGGCTGTGGACTGTGTTGCTGTTCTGTGAGGGCTCAATGGCAGAGCTGGGATCTGGACATGATGTGAAACTGACTGCAAGGGTTCACCAAAGGGATTTGGTCTGGAGAAGAATTGTTTCCCTCACTGGACCATGTCCGGAGGAAGCTAGAAGGTGGCAGCTGTCTTGGGGACTTGTGAGTAGTGACCCTGAACTGATTCCAGGTGACTGTGTGTACTTTTGGGATATTAGTGCCATTGGTAGCTTGGATTGAAACTGCTCTCATAGGTTCTCAGATAATGGCCGTTCCCTGTCTTCAGGAGAGTCCTGGATTGTGAGCATTGAGAAGGTGTGCACTCCAGTACTGTGCAGTGTTCCTGAGATTGCACTGGGTACCAATAGCTGTGCAGAGTAACCAGATGCCAAAGAAACTTGTTTCCCGGTCTCCTGTTATAAGTTTTACCAGCAATAAATCACAAAAAGACAAGCCCTAGAATGGTTTATTGGAGCCAGAGTGAATGTACTGTTGCTTGGGTGGCTGGTAGCCTCTGTACTGTTTGGGGGAGAACCAGATAAAATCGTCAGGCCCTGCAGGGGTAGTGCTACAACTGCATTATCTTCTTTTTCACAGATGCCTTCAAACACAGCTATGTCTAGGCAGGCGTCAATACCTTTTTCCTGAGATAAAAAAGAACTAAAATCATTTCAATAAATGTAAGGCCTCTTGCACATGGACGTACACAATTTACTGATGTTTATACGCTGGTAGAAAGATCCTGAGCAAAAAACACAAGTTGTGTTTTGTAAAGACCTCACGTATGCACATAACATTTTTCTTTAACCTTTTCTAGCTTTCAGTGTTTCAATTTACGCATATGCGCTCATACATACTTGTATATGCACACATACATGCATAAACTACTGCACTCAAGTGCAACATTTTTCATTTTTTTATGGCTCCAAATGCATCGCTGCATTACAGGTGTGTACTTTGAGAACAATGCACGTGTTTAACCTCCCTGGCGGTATGATTATTTCTGATTTTTGGTGCTGAAAGCGTTACCATTTTTTTGCATGGAAATATGTAGTTTTTTATTGTAGGCTGTAATTTTTAGGAATAACTCACTGAAATCTGTCCGAACAAGAGCCTAGTAAACATTCCGGATATGATAAAACTTGAAACACGAAATCATAAATTATAATTTAATAATTAATCATTAAAAATAATATAATAATAATAAATTTAATTCAATAATATAATCAAACCAAAACCACTGAAATTTGAAATACAGAGGCAAATTCGCACATCACTGAGCAAAGTCGCAAAATCGTTTTCAGTGTCTGATGATGAATTTCCCCACGAATCATTATCACTCAATTCTGCAAGTGGTTCTAATTTACTATCGCTGTTCTCTAGCTGGTCTAAAACCGCTTTTGACCTAAAGGGATGCTTTTTGGACGCCATGGACATTTCTCAGTTTCCAGGCAGAAAGAACAGTCAAAATGTAGGCAGGGCACAGGACAAAGCAGTAGGGACAAAATATATGTGAAATTCATTGAAACAGCAATGTTTTATTATATAATAATCATTTTTTAAAAAATGACATTTTTAAAAAATTTCAAATTTGCCGCCGGTTCCGGCGCCCGTACGTCCCGACGTCACAGGGACTGGAACACGGAAGCCGGATGCCGGCATCGGCCGGAGGAGATGGCCGGGGACGCTGCAGGGGACACATCGCGGGAGCGAAGGACAAGGTAAGCGCTGCAGGGACTCCCTGAGCAACGCCGCATGGTGAGCCCGAGTGTAGCTCGGGGTTACCACTCTTGGTACTGAAATTTTACCCCGAGCTACACTCGGGAATACCGCTAAGGAGGTTAAAAAAAAAAATGGCTAAAAATGCATATTCTAGAGCAAATATCTGGCTTGTGCACCCAACATTTAGTCCTTATGCACACTTGAGGATTTTACAGTTGCTGTTTTTGGCTTTTGATGTTTTTTTTACAGCTAGTAAACCCCCCAGCATGTTATCCATGCACACATAGACTGCAATCAATGTTTTTTAGCTGGAAAAAACCCCAGGACTAGGGTTTCTACAGGAGTTTTTTTAGCTGTAAAAATTATCTAAAGCTGAAAAACACGGCAAAAACGAGGTAAAACAACGCAAACCAGCATTTTAGGACTTTTTTTTGGTAAAAAACAAATGCTAAAAAACACAAACGTGGAAAAACGTGGGTAAACGCGGCATAACGCCGCTAAACACTAATGCAAAAAAGCTAAAAAAAAGCTGAAAAACTCATGTTTTTGACATGACTTTACACAGTTAATGTTACCAGTGTTGTCAAAACACCCCGTGTGCATGGAGCCTCAGTCCTCATGCACACTGGACATTTTTGCAGCTGCTGTTTTTGGCTTTTATTTTCTACAGCCAGTAAATCCCCCAGCATGTTATCCTATGTGTCCATGCACACATAGACACATAGACTGTAATCAGCGTTTTTTGGCAGGGATGTTTTTTGGCTGGAAGAAAAACCCAGAACTAGTGGGTTTCTAGAGGAGTTTTTTAGCTGTAAATACGCTCTAACTCTGAAAAACGCTGCAAAATGCAGCAAATCATAACAAACCAGCGTTTTTGGACTTTTAATAAAAAAACATTTTTTTTGATCAACAAAAACACTAAAAACCGCAAACGTGAAAAAACGCTGAAAAACTCACATTTTTGATGTGACTTTACACAGCTAACATTGTCAGTGTTATCAAAACATCCAGTGTGCATGGAGCCTTAGAGTAACTGTAGTACTTTGGGGTGATAAATTACCTTTTCGTGGCGTGGGTCCGGTGTTACCCCATATAGGTTGCATGCTGACGATCCCCACAGGATGGATCGGATCTGCGGATTGGGGAGCACTGATACTCTGATGAAGTCACGTGATAACGTGACGCAACGCGTTGGTACGCAACTTCTGGTGACGCACTTCCGGGCGTGGTGGCCATCTTGGTAGACCTTACAAACAAATGTAGTGCACCCATATGCATGAGGTTTAAGAGTCTGTTTATTGGAGAATACACGTGAGTGTAAATTCAATTTTTTAAAATATTTATGGATTAAAAACGTTATTGCGCCATGGAGGAATCTTTTTTTGTCTCACCATTATGATCCTGAGTAGGGGTGAGCTATATTGCGGTAACTGAGCCAGGAGGGAGCTGAGTGGTGGTGTAGAAAGGAGCTTGTGTGGCGTTCATTTCCTGGAACCGGTTTAAATCTATTAGGATCAGGAGGTGATCCTTAAAAGCGTGCTGGCCCTTATTGGTCACGTTTTGGAGGTGAGGGGTCGAGGTGAGGGGTCATTTTGGCCATTTCAGAGGAGTTCTTTTCACCAGAGTGGAGATCACTGTTTTTTCACGGCATCACTTTCATGAAGTATATGAAGATCACGATTATATTTTTATGTTTTGTGGACATTATATTTTGTACATATATTTTTTTATATATATGTTTATCAGGATTTATACACTTTTAGAGTTTTTTTTTGTGTCCCTTAACACTTATTATTTGTCCCTAACAAGGGATTCACCTGAGACACTATTTGTGTAGTCCCATTACTGGGACAGGAGGGGGTTTTTCATAATTTATATTGCTTAAAAGTCACATGTTATGTAATATAACAGGATTTCCTGTCTTTCACTATTTTACACGGTTGGTCACGATTGGATACAGATTGTATCTGAGCACTGTGTGTGGTTTATATATATATTGTTTAAGGGTGTGTGTTATTTAATTCATTTTAGAGCGCTTCACCAATTTTTATTTTTTTGAAGTTGTAAAGCAAGCTGACGATCCCCGCAGGATGGATCAGATCTGCAGATTGAGCATAATGGATCGGAGTCCAGTATATTATGCTCAATCCGCAGATCCAATCCATTCTGCGGGGATCGTCGGAGGGGTGTCACCAATTGTTATCATACCGGGTGACACCAACCCTAGGGACGCCTCTGCATCAAACTATATCTTGCAAAATACGTGTGTTGTTTTGCTCACACATGTATAAGAATATATACGTGGCTTCCCGCTGTGCCAATTCACAGACCGCATAAAATAATAGACATTTTGACAGCAGCACTATTTCTTGATAATCCTTTAAGTCACACGGGTCTCCATGTGTAATACATTGCCTGAAAGCCAGTGGTCAGCGTAAGCAAACACTTTAGACAGGCCTGGGCCTGGAGATTGCTGTCATTTGTTTGCAGCCAAGAAGACAAGACACAAGGACCTATTGAAAGTGCCTGGCTTCAAGTACAGACAGATGGAGAGCACAAGGGTTACCATAGCCAGGCCTGAGAATGACCTCTGTGCTGGGAAATGAAATCAGTCTGACCCTGTTGTTAGGCCTTAAATTATAGCCACAGTTCCCCAAATAATGCATCTTTAATACATTGCTGCCCTCTTTTTATCAGGCTCCCTACCTCGAGGGGGTTTTGTTCACTAACTACCAATGTTAAATTGGAGCTCTTTATACTTGCATTTGTGACCTCAATGGTCATCTTGCAGCATCTTTAATTGAGAACACTTCAAAACATAAACCCAAATCCCTAAAAAAAAAAAAAAAAAAAAACCCACATTCTTTCTGCAAGAACAAAAGAAGACGAGCCAGAAAGGAAGAAAGGAAGGAGTCTTTTAAATTAGGAGGATTAGGATGTTCGCTGCAATCTAGTTTCTCCCACAAATTAACACCAAGGCAGAGGGACCATTGTCTCCTGGTTATTTTCTCATTGTCCATTGATTGAGAAGTCCGAACACACATTCGGCATCTTGCAATGTTCTTTATTAAGAGACTGCCTGAAATCATGTCATGCAAAGTAGCTACGTTTTAGTGGCACAGCTCAGGCGAGGATTAGGTTGCGAACTGTCTATATTGCAACATTTTTTTTGGAAAGGTGTGCCTGAGTAATATGTATATGGCATTTTAAACATGATCGGGCTTATTTAATAAGACTGCACAGTACAATAAAGAGGAGCAGAGTTCAGTAACCTCCAGCAAACAGTTTTCACCTACCAGTAGTCAGAAAAACAAGAGAATTGCTGTTAGGTCGTTGTAGGCTACTAAACTTGGCATGCCACTTTAAAGCAGATCTAAAAAAAACAATCAAAAATTTTTTTTTTTCATTAGTGGACAAAACAACACATAAAATGTTATAGTGGTTCTAAATTAATAGTGATGGGGTGATATAGTGAGTACAACACAATAAAATGTGAATAAATCAATAACATGATATCAGTGAATTACTGTGAATACAAAAATGATATATAATAATCCAAAGTCCACAGAAATTGTTCCTCCTTCTTTGGAATCCACCACGTGCTGTCTAATAATAACCAGGTGCCTCAAAGTGTCCCCCACATGGATGTGCACTCACCAATAGTCGTTGCCTCCCACATTCGTGGTTGGCAAAACAGGCTTCAAAGAATAATTCTCCAAATATAAGCGAATTATAACTAATGTGGTACAACCATCATGGAGGTATAATGGTTCAAACTATTAAGGATTCCATACATTCCAATGCTTATGTACCATACGAGCATGATATTCCTCTTTCCCATGATCACCATGTGAAACAAAAAGCAGAGAGGCGCTCCAATGGTGTAGTATTAAAACAAAGATCCTTTATTAATCCAAATGGACATTACTCACAAGCAAACAGTAGTACAAAGCACAGTATCCTATTACTGAATAAGCCTGGAGTGACAGAAGACTGTGGGTGCTCTCACCACCTCCGGATTACTGTTCACTGACGCCGTCGCGTCACCGCCGGTTCCGATCAACGTCACCACCATCACGCGCTCATGCATTTCGTCACTTCCAACTTACTCATAGAGGTAATTATTTATTTATTACAGGTACTTATAAAGTGCCATCAATTTACACAGCGCTTTACATATATATTGTACATTTACACCAGTCCCTAACCCTCAAGGGGTGTACAATCTAAGGTCCCTAACTCACATTCATACATACACATACTAGGCCAAATTTAGACAGGATCCAATTAACCTACCAACATGTCTTTGGAGTGTGGGAGGAAACCAGAGTGCATGGAGGAAACGCACGCAGGCACAGAGAGAACATGCAAACTCCAGGCAGGTGGCGCCGTGGCTGGGATTTGAACCAATGACCCTAGTGCTGCCAAGTGGAAGTGCTAACCATTTAGCCACTGTGCTGCCCTAAATATGTTTAGTTTGCTCTGTGCATTGTTTGATATAAAAGGTTTATATAATAAAAATTATAGAATATATGTTTACACTTTTTTGCACCTCATTGCTGCTGATTTCCTCCAGACTCTTTCAGCAACTTCCCGTCTACATGCACTTGTCCCAATATTAACTGCACATCACTGTTGTCAACCAGACCTTGGGGACTGACAATGGCTGGTCAAGACTGCCCAATGTGTGTCAGCACTACTGCTTGTAGGCTTCACCAGAACAGGGTGACAATGTGGAAATGTAATTGGGAGACAGTTGTCACCCCCATAACAGGAAGTGTCTGAACAAGGATCTTTATCACAGGGCCACCCAAAATGATTTGACAAAATTTGGAGCCCTTGGACTCAATCTCCCTTTGCCGCCTAACCATGCTGGGATTGTGTGTAAACATTTTTGGTATTATTCTTCTGATATAATTAGGCAATGGGGTTGATTTACTAAAGGCAAAAAGACTGTGCACTTTGCAAAGTGCAGTTACGCTCTGAAAGTGCAGTTGCTCCAGAGCTAAAGATTCACACTGCAAAGAATACCCAATCACGTGCAAGTAAAATAGAAAAAAACAGCTTTTTTGCTTGCACATGATTGGATGATGGAAGTCAGCAAAGTGTCTGTCTGCTCATA